TTCGCCGGCCCCGCGTCCGCCCTGTCCTCGGCCGCGCCGCCCTCGGGCCCGCCGGCCTCGCGCTTCTTGGCTTTCTTCAGCTTCACCTTCGAGACGTCCATGGTCTTGCTGGGACACGTGGGGTGCTTGGACTTGAAGTGATACTGCAGATTGCACTTCTTGGAGGCCGCGTAGTCGCACACCGGGCAGTTGAACTGCCGGGGGTTCACGTGGAGCTCCACGTGCTTCTTGAAGTTGCTTCTGTCCGCCGTCTTGTAGTCGCAGTGTGGGCAGTTCAGGGGTTTCGGCCCGTTGTGCACCTGCCTCGCGTGGCGCGTGACCTCGTGCTGGTTCGAGGCCACGTAACTGCACTGATCACACTTAAATGGCTTCTCACCTGAGGGGGCAGAGAAGACAGGGGTTAAGGCAGGACTCAAGACCAAGCCACGCTCGCAGGGAACTGCGTATGTACAATGCCCACACGGACTAGTCACTGAAAAGACGGCATCATGCACCTTACATTCACCGTATTTATTTGTATGACTTTCCTCCAAGCCTTGAGCAGGACTCGCAAACTAAGCAGAGGAATGAGCGCCTCAGTCAACAACTATCTTCAAAAAAGTTCAAGTCCCAGCTCCCAGGCAGCCGGGCTCGGTGGCTCAGCCTGTCATCCCGCGCCTTTGGGAGGCTGAGGTGAGTGGATAGCCTGAACCTGTGGGTTCGAGACCCGCCTGGGCAGCGAGACCTCATCTCTACAATAAAAAAAAAAATCAGCCGGGCGTGGTCGCGCATGCCTGTAATTCCGGCTACTCGGAAGGCTGAGGCGGAAGGGGAAGGATGGCCGGAAGGCTGAGGCGGAAGGGGAAGGATGGCCGCAGCCCAGCAGGCGAGGCTGCGGGGGCCGGGAGCGGCCGCTGCACTCCAGTCTGGGCGACCGAGTGAGGCTCCAACTCAAAAAAAAAAACAGAGCTCCCAGGCATTATTAAAGAACAGACCAAGGTGAACAATAAGAAGCCCAAAATAAAAGTAAAAATTAAAAGTATTTTTTAAAAGAAGAGATTCATCAAGACATACACAAGTACTGGCAAAGTTCAGTTGGGCTTTCTATGTTAATTTTGGGGCAAAGTCATTCACAGAAAATAATCCATTTAAAAATTGTTTAGTTAAAACAGATATCCTGTAGAAAATAAAATTTGCATGCCTTCCCCCTTTCAGACTTTTTTTAAGGTAAATCTTGAGAAAGCTCTTTCACTCCAGCCAGGTGCAGTGGCTCTCATCTGTAATCCCAGCTCTTTGGGAGGCCGAGGTGAGAGGACTGCCTCAGCCCAGGGGTTCAAGACCAGCCTGGACAACTTGGTGAGACTTCATCTCTACAATAAATCAAAAAAAAAAATCAGCCGGACGTGGTGGCGCATCCTGTTGTCCCAGCTACCCAGAAGGCTGAGGTAGAAGGATCACCTGAGCCCAGCGGGTCAAGGCTGTGGTGACCCTGAGCGTGGGGAAAAAAAGAAAGAAAGATCCTTCACTCCAGGCTATACTCCCAGATCCAAGGCTCAAAAGTTTTAAAATTCAGCTTTAGCCTGAGGAAACAGGGAGCAAAGGCTTTTTCTCGAAATGTAACCCTCTCGTCATGGCAAGAGCTAAGTAAAGTTTCACTCAGCAAACTTTTCCACTGCCCAAGTTACAATTGTAAAGCCAAATACAGGTCAGGGTAATTATCCAGAAAACTTTTATTGAATTTTCCCCCTTTTCTATAAAATGGGCAAAGAAACTTAGTAAATAAGAAGTGGCATACAAATAGATATGGCATGTAAAAGCAGCAAAGTCACAATCAAGAACATACAAAACCAGAACCACCCCCACCCCCAAGTTAGAAGCATAAGAATAATACATTCTACCTGAATACATACCCATCTAGATCACACTCTAGTAAATATTACCAAATGGTATCCATACCCCACTGGTCCAATGGAATGCATAGTAGAAAAATGGAAATTGACATTTATGAAAATTAATCTCTCAAACATTCTCAAATGCATACAAAATTTTGCTGAAATTTTTCATCAACCAAAACTCAGACATTAAGCAAAACCATGCAGATGTTAAGTTTTACATGATTAGAAAATGTCTGGTAGTCAAACAAACACAAGCCAAACATTTATCCAGGTATGTTAAATTGGATATGAAACAAGCCGGAGAATTCTTTTCCATGTGAGTCCACTAAAAGATCCATAAATAAAGAGGTTTCTCCAACAAGCTACCTCACTCTGTCCTGAGCTCTGCACTGTCCTCTCCAGTGAATTATTCAAATGGAGACAACCATTTGCTTAACATACACAGACAGAGAATGGAGAGGCAACCTCAGGGCTTCTTCTATAGTTAGTGTCTCCAGGAGATAAAATGGGCTCAGCAACTCACTGATTCTCAGACGTTGAGCAAGAGAGTGAAAGCTCTCTGGAGCGCCTTCTCCTAAGGCAACATTAATTACCTGTGAATTAGCTATCAATTACCTAATCCATGCAAATCACCTGCATGGAGCAGAGAACAAGAACTCAATATGCATTGGCTAGAACTGCTCGCTTTTAGAACCAATTAGTAACTTTAAGTATGGGTAAATAAAAGGTAAGATTCAAACACTGATCTTATATTCTGTAATATAAACCCCATCTCTGAGCACAAAAATAGCCAATGGAGTTTACCCTCTTTTCCTCATACTTACATGAATAAAATAATTATAATTAAATTGCCACCACTTGATAAACTCTAATGAATGAGATACAACCAAGGTACAAATCTCTATCTAAGAAACAGTCAGAAAAAAAGAATGTCAGAATTCTCTGTTTAAAAGTTCATAATATCAACCAGGCTCGTGGCTCAGCCTGTAATCACACGTTTGGGAGGCTGATGTGAGTGGACTGCCTGAGCCCGCGGGTTCAAGACCCACCTGGGCAACTTGGCGAGACCTCATCTCTACAATAAATCAAAAAATTAGCTGGGCATGGTAGCGTGTGCCTGTAGTTCCAGCTACTTGGAAGGCTGAGGTGGAAGGATGGCCGGAGCCCAGCAGGTTGAGGCTGTGGTGGCCAGGAGTGTGCCACTGCACTCTAGTCTGGGTGACAGAGTGAGACTCCAACTCAAAAAATAAAAAATAAAATAAATAAACAAAAATAAATAAAAGTTCATAATATCATCGAGCGCAGTAGCTCAGGCATATAATCCCAGCACTTTGGGAGGTAGAAACAATAGGACTGCCTGAGCCCAGGGGTTTGAGACCAGCCTGGGCAATGTGGTGAAACCGCATGTCTACAATAAATCAAAAAATTAGACAGGCATGGTGATACACACCTGTAGTTCCCAGCTACCTGGAAGGCTGAGACGGAAGGATCACCTGAGCCCAGCAGGTTGAGGCTGCGGTGGCCATGAACGTGCCACTGCACTCCAGCCTGGGTGATAGAGTGAGACTCCAACTGAAAAAAAAATCAAAAACATTTCCTTTGCCGTTCTTTCTTGCTCTGCCACCCAGGCTGGAGTGCAGTGGTGTGATTCTTGACTCACTACAGCCTTGACCTCCTGGGCTCGGGTAGTCTTCCCGTGTGTCAGCCTCCTGAGTACTTGAGATGGACTATATAGGTGCATGTCAGCCCGCCTAGCTAACTTTTAATTTTTATTTATTTAATAAAAAGAGACATGGTCTCGCTATATGTTGCCCAAATTGTTTTTCCTTGGCCGAGTGGTGGTTCACGCCTGTAATCCCAGCACTTTGGGAGGCCAAGGTGAGAGGATTGCCTGAACGAACCTATGGGCAACTTGGCGAGACCTCATCTCTGCGATAAATAAAAAAATTAGCTGGGCTTGGTGGCGCATGCCTGTAATTCCATCTACTTGGCTGAAGTGGAAGGATCGCCTGAGTACCCAGCAGGTGGAGGCTGTGGTGGCTGTGAGCGTGCCACTGCACTCCAGCCTGGGCAACAGTGAGATTCCAACTCAAAAAAAAATTTTTTTTTCCTTTTGACTTGGCTTACTCCTATAAGTTAATTTTGGAAGAATAAGGTGGATAAGTGACACATTTATAGAGGTGGGAAACATAGGTAAAAAATTACTAGAATTAAAAAAAGAGTTAAAGCCATTTGTACAGTCTAAAAGATTTCTATTCCACTAGCCACTAATAAATTAGAACATCTTGATAAGTATGTAGTCTAATAGAAACAAGACTTAATGGCAATAAAGTGAGAATCGGAGGAGAAAAAAACTAGTAGAGCAAGTAAATGATACTATGCACTTCTTTTTTTTTTTTTTTTTTTGAGTTGGAGTCTCACTCTGTCACCCAGACTGGAGTGCAGTGGCCCACTCTTGGCCACTGCAGCCTCGACCTGCTGGGCTCCAGCGATCCTTCTGCCTCAGCCACCCGAGTAGCTAGAACTACAGGCACGCACTACCATACCCGGCTGAGTTTTTGATTTATTGTAGAGATGAGGTCTCGCCAAGTTGCCCAGGCGGGTCTCGAACCCACGGGCTCAGGCAGTCCACTCACCTCAGCCTCCCAAAGGGATTACAGGCTGAGCCACCGAGCCCGGCTCAAAGGAAATGTTTAACGAAAGAGTAGTAAGGGGCCAGGAGCAGTGGCTCACACCAGTAACCCCCACACTTTGGGAGGCGGAGACAGGAGGACCACATGAGTTCAGGAGTTAGAGACAAGCCAGGGTAACATAGCAAGACCTCATCTGTACAAGCAATTAGCCAGGCATGGTGGCGCACACTTGTAGTCCCTGCTACTCAGAACGCTGAGGTGCCAGGATTGCCTGAGCCCAGAAGGATGAGGCTGCAGTGAGCCATGATCGGCCACTGCACTGCTGCCTGGGTGACATGAGACCCCACCTCGGAAAAAGGAAACAAAAAATCCACTCCACATGTAATATGCAAAATTAATCCTGTATCACCAGGATGGAGATCACTAGCCAGTGTGACATACACAAAAATATCAATGGTAAATACAAATTAGATGGTCGAGAGAGCTGAGAATAATGTCAGTGTCTGCAGGACTCCCCAGGAAAGGACAGCCTGAAACTATTAGGAAGAAATACCAGTGAAATGGAGAACAACCAATAGCCTGTTCCCTCCCTAATCTGTCCTGAGAAGACCTGTCCTGTGGATAGCAGTACAACAAGTAAATGACCGATGTGGTTCTGCCTGTCACTTGTGTCTAAAATGTGTTAACTAAACAGAGCCTAATCTCTTCCAGAAATAAAACCAACTGAGCACACACTCCTCTTCCCTAAAATACACTTACTCACTTGAACAAGGAATCAAAGGTGGCCTGTAAAGATCAGATCCCAGACCACAAACACACCCATGATAGTCACTGGAAGCAACCCACTCTGAAAAGCTACCCAGTGTCACCTAAGTTAGCCTCACTTTATTTCAAGTGTTATCAGCAACTGCTATCAAAAGCATCAGAGGCCGGGCTCGGTGGCTCAGCCTGTAATCCCGCGCCTTTGGGAGGCTGAGGTGAGTGGATTGCCTGAGCCCGCGGGTTCGAGACCCGCCTGGGCAGCGAGACCTCATCTCTACAATAAATCAAAAAATCAGCTGGGCGTGGTAGTTCATGCCTGTAATTCTGGTTACTTGGAAGGCTGAGGCGGAAGGATCGCTGGAGCCCAGCAGGTCGAGGCTGCGGTGGCCGGAAGCGGCCACTGCACTCCAGTCTGGGCGACAGAGTGAGACTCCAACTCAAAAAAAAAAAAAAAAAAAAGCATCAGAGGTCTGGCCTGTGGCTCATGCCTAAAAACCCAGGACATTGGGAGGCTGAGGTGAGAGGACTGACTGAGCTCATGGGTTCGAGACCAGCCTGGTCAACTTGGCGAGAACTCATCTCTACAATAAATCAAAAATTTAGTTGGGCATAGTGGTGTAATTCCAGCTACTCAGAAGGCTGAGGCGGAAGGATCACCTGAGCCCAGCAGGTTAAGGCTGCTGTGGAGGTGAGTGTGCCACTGCACTCCAGGCTGGGTGACAGAGACTCCAACTCAAAAAAATAAATAAGGGGGGGGAGGGGGATGGGATTAACAGTCGCAAATATCTGTCTGGGGATGGGGAAACACCTCTTATCAACAGGGTGCCTGAATGAAACGTAATTGTACACCTAACCCTTAACTGTACCCCACAAAATCATAATAAAAAATATTGATTAATTAAAAAAACTAAATAATAAATAAGCATTAGAACATATAATCTGCTAAGAATAATTCAGCACCTCCATAAACAAAACAGATTCATCATCATTTTTATTTCCTGTTTGTGAATCACAAAATGTTACCATCGAATAAAAGACAATGGCTCACTTTCTCAGTACAATGTGGTTCCAATTTCATTATGCTATAGCCTTTTTTTTTTTTTTTTTTTAAAATAAAACCGGGCACAGTGACTCACGCCTGTAATACCAGTGCTTTGCGAGGCCAAGGCAAGAAGACTGCCTGACACCAGGGGTACAAGACCACCCTGGGTAGCTTGGTGAGACTTCATTTCTAAAATAAATAAAAATTAGCCGGGCGTGGTGGCACATGCCTGTGGTTCCAGCTACGTGGAAGGCTGAGGGGGAAGGATCGCCTGAGCCCAGCGGGCCGAGGCTATGGTGGCCGTGAGTGGACCACTGCACTCCAGCCTGGGCGACAGAGTGAGACTTCTACTCAAAAAAAAAGAAAAAAGCATGTTATAAAGACAGGGTCAGTCTCGGTTGCCCAGACCTGAGTGCTGTGGTGTGATCACTGCTCACAGCATGCTTGAGTGCCTGTATCAATGGATCCTCCCGCCTCAGCCTCGGGTACCTGAGAACCGAGTACCTGAGAATCGAGGCACACGCCACCACACCCAGCGCTGCCATAGTCTCACCACCTGAGTCACCTCCTAAACCATTATGTTCTAAGCACACTAACAAAAGTGGGACAGTGGGGGAGTCTGAATAGAAATCCTACTTCTTCTAATTTTGAGGAATGACCTTTAACCTGAAAGTACTTATCCCCTCTGAGCCCATGTACTAATCTGCAGTATTAACTGGTATTCAATGGTACTAAGTTTAGAGATAACAAATACCTGTTTTTCAGAACCCAGCAGGCATACAATAATCAGCAGCTACTACCAATTATTAAGAGACCATTAGGCCGGGATCAGTGGCTCAGCCTGTTATCCCCCGCCTTTGGGAGGCTGAGATGAGTAGATTGCCTGAGCCCGCGGGTTGGAGACCCGCCTGGGCAACTTGGCGAGACCTTATCTCTACAATAAGTCAAAAATTAGCCTATGGTCCCAGCTACTTGAAAGGCTGAGGTGGAAGGATCACGTGAGCCCAGCAGGTCGAGGTTGTCGAGATACATATATCTCAAAAAAAAAAACTCAAGACATTTGGCAAACCCAAATTTAAAAAAAGTGTTTCAAGCAAAGATTGTCAACTGGTATAAAACATCATAGATAAACATTTAAACAGTAACAAGATAAAGTATTGCTAATTCAATACAAGGATACAAGTATGTCATCATTCTAATCCAGTGACCCAACATCATGAAAGGGTCAACCAGATGCAACTTTAAATGAAGTACCTCATTTGACAGGCAGACATCAAGCATTCAGATTTAATGCCCAGCTTACAAGTAATACCAGGGACAAAAGAGGGGCCAGGCATGGTGGCTTATGCCTGTATTCCCAGCACTTTAGGAGGCTGAGGTGAGTGGATTGCCTGAGCCCGCAGGTTCAAGACCCGCCTGGGCAACTTGGCGAGACCTCATCTCTACAATAAATCAAAATGAGCCGGGTGTGGTATCGCGCACCTGTAGTTCCAGCTACTTGGAAGGCTGAGGCGGAAGGATACCCGGAGCCCAGCAGGTTGAGG